GCGCCGCGTTCTCGCTCATGGAGCGCTCCCGCTTCAGCCGCCCCGCCGAGCGCACCTGTGGGGCACCAAGGGGAGAGCCGTCAGGAACCCGCCTGCCCCCCACAGCACCCCTCCCGCTGGGGGCTGGCCCCGCAGCAGGAGGGCAGCAACTGCTCACGGCATCCCACGCTGGTGCATGGAAAACTGAGCTCCAAACTTACTGAAACCCTGCTGTTCTCTAGCAGAGAACATGTGATCTGATGCCAAAAATATGAACAAGCAGAATTATGAGTATCTAAGAAAGCAATATTATGTTCAGTATTAATTCCGATCACCAGAGATAAATATAGTTCTACTGTATTCTATGAGGCTATGTAGCTTCATAAATATTTCCCAGTTTTCCAGATGTCAATTCCATCGTCCACCTGGACGCCAGTGTTACCCCATTCTTTGAAGTCAGTTTTCAGAGTTTTGTTAAAACTCACTAATTGTATGTGGCATGATATCATCTGGCCATGAATTCCAAAGGTTAACTAAACATGTTAAAAAAAAATCTAAGTTTGATTTCTGATAACCCACAAATTAAAAATATCCTGCCGCTTTCTCTTCAATCAAAAGGAATTTTTTGGTAAAAATGTTTTGAATAGTTCTAATTCTGACTTGATTTTTGTAAGTACAGTGGAAGCTTACCGAGCATGGCAACACCCCATGCCATCTGCCAGCTAAATATGGATCTTCAAAGCCATAATTACATCTACTACAGTGCTAATAAAAATATTCTTATATTTTAGCAACTTATGTTCACACCAAGGAGATCTGCACCACGGTAGAGAAGTCTTTGGTCACTTGACTTGCTTTAGTAGAATGCTTCCCAACTTAGGAAAAAGGAAAGTAAGTACTAGCCTCTTCATTTTGAGGTGTCTGCTGTGGAGGTTTTTCGAGGTCCAAAAAATCTAGTGGTCGATCACTAAGAGAAATAACACGGGGAGGAGTTTTCAATGCCAGTGATTTGAATGGAGTAGACTGAAGAAGGTCAAGATCTGGTGGTCTGGGAAATGGAATGTCTTCACTATTACCTGAAAGAACATCATCTGTCAATAGAAAATAAGATCTTCTGAGGCCCAAGGGCTAGTGCTAAAGCTCAGAAAGACATCACATTAGTTACTTCACTCACAATGCCAAATAATTACATACACCCTTCTTTAACAGGGCTTGTATCTTAAAAACTATGGTTAAAGCTTTCACAAAGACCACATTAACTTACATTTATTTGAGCAGTTTCTCTGAGAACAATGATCCTGAGTAATCCATTACTTTAGCTGATAGTTAATTACAAAGAATCAGGTGTAAATCAATAAACTTTTTTTTTTTTCCTCCAGAAATGGTTTATTAAAATGAAACGACAGCAATGAAAGTTTCTGTTCACAATTCACTCCTTAGCCACCTCCACTACAAGCTATAACAAAACTACTCATGAAACATTTTCAGAGTTTAAGGAACTTCCCGAGTCAAACTTGATGAGCAATAACCATTTGAAAACCAGACAGCATTTTACAGATTTACTTTTAAAAATGTATCAATACGTATCTTTGTCCATCCAAACGTTTGGGGAACTAATTTAACCTTTCAGGTATTTGTCTTTCATTGAGATGCAGACATACCTGCCACTACAATCCGCTCTGGAACCTGCATAGTTACACTGGCATTTGGGAATCCTTCCTGGGCGCCCTTCTCCAGGTCAGTGTTTGGAGGAGCCACCTTGAGCTTCTCGGGGACCCTCATGCGCTGGCTGATGCCCTCGGTGTACTCCATCTCGTACTGCAGGCGGCTCATCTCCGCCAGCTCCGCTGCCGGCGAGGGGAACGCAGCCCCACTCATTCTGGCAAAAGAAAACCCCCAGCTGTAACAGCAGCACAGGAAACCAGCTAAAAGTGTGTGGAGGAAACTCCTAGTTCTGGTTATTAGGCAAGCGGTAGATGGTCCCAATAGAACAGACTCTTTTAGGGAAACAAATGGTATGACAAAATTCACAGGAAGGGTAGTGATGAGGAGCCGAGAGTTGAGGGCGATGGCAGAAGTACAAAGTGATGCTGTAGGCAATGCTCAAAGCTGCAATGAGTGTCCTCAAATTGAGCTGTGACAAAACAAAAGGTAGAAATGCTGCATGCCACATATTATTCTTGTGCTGGCTGGCAGAAAAAGAAACCCAAACAAACAAACAAAAAAAAAACCCAGAAAGAACCAGTAGGCAATCTATTCAGGTCTGGTAAGAAATCTGAAATATTCATCTGTATTTACACAGAACCCTTGTACTGGTACTTGAGAAAATGGATGAAGCCTTACAAAATGGCTTGTTGAAGTGAGGAAGGGGCAGAAAAGGCCTGGCCTGGGCAGCAGCCCTCTGCTTGCTGACAGCCACTCACACCTCACCCACCCCACCAGGACACAGGCCCTTCCCAGAAGCCTGGAGAGCAGTCCCAACAGCTCGTGTGCTCCTGACCCACTCCAATCACAAGCAATTCTGCAAACTCCTCACTTGGGGAATTTTCTCTCCATGAAAATCTTGCTTTTGCACAACAGATAAAAGATAGGCAGAGAGAGAATGAGACTTTATTTAAAAATTTAAAAGGTTTTGCCAAGACTTATATATGCATTTTCTTGGAGAAGGAGAACTTCATATGAAGCAGTGGGGGAACTTGCTAGAAACTGGGCCATGAGAAAGTCACCGATATGGTACCTGTTGGGAGCCCTGTCGAGGACAAAAACCAAGATAACTGGGTTTTGAGGTTGGATTGAAGGTCGAGAGAAAAAGAAATCCTAGAGCTGCACTTGGAGGTGGGCTGGAAAGGGGCTGCTGATGGGAACCGTGGGCTGGAAAGGGACCCTGGAGAGCTGGGGAAGCTGCTCGCCTGGGCAGTGTGTAGCAGACCTCGCTGGTGGCTCAGAGAGAGGTCATGGTTGTGGGCTCTGCTCGGACAGACATCCCGGAGCTGCAGCTGGAGCGGGGCTGGAAAGGGCTCCCAGAGGAAACGGAGCTGCAAGGAGTAGTCTGCTGTCAGAAACTTCTCATCCAGGCAGCGGCTGGGGAGCCCTGCCAACAGCTCAGACTGAGAGAAGGGCTGGTTTTAGGGCTGGGACTGAGAGAAAGATGTATTTCTATACACGTATGTACACAGACAACACGTACATACAGTTTTCCTGGGAGATCTGCCTATGGGAAGCAGAGCTTCCTCTAGGCAGCATTCTGTCAGCAGTACTGCTTGCAGTAGCTGCCCAAACAAAGTCAGCTCTCCTGGCCAAAGGCAGGTTCTGCTGCTCTAACTGCAGCTACGTTCTTTACTATTTTTGGCAGCGAGGCCATCACTGTGCCTGCTGTCAGAGGCTAGAGAGGCACAGCCTGGGCATGGGAAGCTGGAGAGGCAGAGCCCAGGAACGGGCAGCTGGGGGGGACAGAGCCATCCCTGTGGTGCACAACACAGACCCCAGGCCACCCCTCCCACTGCCAGTGCGAATTCACATTGTGTGCAAGTGTCAGGTGAACGGAGCTGGGGCAACCCGTTGAACTGGAAATAAACACACGAGTTCAAGAGGTGCTGAAGCACCTCTGCCACTTCAAAACTCTTACAAAGTCACTTCAAGGATGGTTTTTTTTTGTCCCTGCCCTTTGGTTTTGCAAGCTAGATTTGTCCCTCTTGCAAGACATGGGCTAGATCAGCCAGCGGCACAAACAGAGTACAGAGTCTTCTGGCATTTCCACATTCCAAAAGGTGATTTTCATTTCAAAATATGGTCTGTGGTCAGTAAAACGTTTCCCAAGCAACAGGAGTAAAAATCATAATGCCAATAAAGAGAAAAAATTTCAAGAACTCCTCAAAGCACCCAGAATATCTACTGGCAGCAGCTTAAAGGATAGAGCCTGCCCACAAGACTTGACAAAAGGTGTTCCACTGCTTGGCCACTTTCTCATTTTGAGATACCTGCACGGCTCCAATATTTTGTAGTAAGATATCATTACAGTGCAGCAGCATCTACACCCCAGCTTCTCTAAAGTTTGGCACTGCGTGTGTGTGTCCCTGTGCCTGTGTGGCAGCTGCTTTCCAGCCATCAGGCAAAACACGCAGAGAAAAGGGCAGTGTTGAAACCATCACTTGATAAACTACTGATAAGCTGAATCACGCTGTGTGGGGTCAGCTGCACCTGCCAAGGACCTATAGACACAATACCCCAATGTCTTCCTACCCTTCCCACTCCTCATTTACTTCACATCCCTGAGAACTGTATTTACTGTAACAGTGACTTGTATTTTTACAAGAAAACAACAAAATAAGACACAGTGAGATTTCACCAACAGAAAAAATATTTAACTGGAGCTTGGTAATAACCCCCCAACTTTCTAAAGAGAATAGAAACCAAAGTTATGGTTTCTGTACAGTTCTTGTTACACAAGGCATTTTACAGAAGACATTAATAATAAATCAGGGAGGAGGATTTAAAAATTGATAAATAGCTCTAAAGAGGCATGAAGATAGAAAAGTAGTCTGAGAAGGATGAGACAATAAAAACACAGTCACAAATACAGGATAAATAAAGGGCAGAGAGCAGCTGAAGCACAAATGAGCAGTGGTAGCATTTAACGAAAGGGAGCAAGGAAGGAGATGCAGAGGAGAAGGGAAGGGAGAGCGAGAGGAGCTGCCCAAAGTGAGTTCCACGTGTTCAGAACGAGACGGGGCGGCTCCTTCTCCCC